ATGCCTTCCTGCCCAACACACACAAACGGGCGCGTGTGCACACACACACAAACACACAAACACTGCACTGAATCTAGTCAATCCCTTTTCTAGGTATTTACCCAATACTTTGAAAGCTATGGGCAAACACACATGGGCATATAACTATGCTTTGAAGGTTAATTATATAGCTCTATTCAAAATTGCTCCAAACTGAAAGAAAAGTATTGTTCAACATGTGAACGGGCATGCAAACTATTTATATCCCTATGATAGCAAGGATGAAAGTTCTCAGAAGCTAGAGAAGGCTGAGAATATAGTCCTACTCCTGTGTCCTGTACCCAATGGAGGTGATTCTGCTGTTCCTGGCATTTTTCCTTTGAGGCCTAGACAGGAAGTTGGCATTCTAACTTCCCTCTTTTGAGGCGGGGTTCTGGCCCAGTGACTGGGTTCTGACCAAAGGACCATGAATAGAAGTGATATGGGTTGCTTCTAGGTATGACTAGGTGCACTTGTACCTGTTTGTACCCTTGAGAATGCAAAAGCATTTGGTCTCAGCCTCCCTCTGCTCCAGAATAGTTACTCCTGATGATAAAAACATCCTTGAAAGTCCCAGGCAGCCAGCCAGGAAAGCCACTTACACATTTGCCTGCTGAGGGAGAAATCAACTTTGACCCAATGATATTGTGGGCTATTACTGTAACTGATACCATAATCAATATTTGAGCATTTTTTTTTCATAGTTTTATTTATTTATTTTTCTTCTTGTATTTATTTACTGAATCACTGTGGGAAAAGTTACTAAGCTTTCAGGTTTAAATCTTGGTCATACAATGATCAAACACCTCTCCCTTCACCAGTACTCATTTTTCACCACCAATATTTGAGCATTTTAAACATACATGTTTTACCATTATTTTCCAGATCATTTTTAGATTCATCCATTCTTCCAAATGGCTGGGTTTTCATCATCCTGTTCATCTGTCTATGGCCTTTCCCCTCTATGCCTATCGTATGGCATGGCGTTCATTTTCTCATGGACGTTATAATTTTTAGTTTGAGGCTATTTTCATGAGGGTTGTCACTGTGTTTTGAAGTTAAAAAGCTTTATTTAGGGAAAATAAGAGAAAAGACAGAGAGGAGAGAGAAGAAAGGAGAGAGGAAGAGGAGGAGAGAGAGAGATAGGGAGACAGAGAGGAACTTCATAAGACAAAACAAAAGAAGAAAGGAATTACAAATCCCAAATTGAGATGAGTTGGCATGTGGCTGTTCCAAGAATGGGGGTGTACATGGCTTGCCATATATATTTAAATTTATATAAATTTTCTAACTATATAAATTCACATATAAAATATTTGTGAATTTATAAATTTTAGTTTATAAAAGTAGCTTGCCAGGCTCTCTGAGAGGGGCGGAGGAATCGAACTCGGTCAGCCTGGTTGGCCACCAAGAGTATCTCGCTCACCCGGCAAAGCCTGGCAAGCTACCCGTGACGTATTTGATATGCCAAACACAGTAACAACAAATCTCACAATGGAGATGTTACTGGGCCCGCTCGAGCAAATCGATGAACAACGGGAGGACATGTTACAGTTTATAAAAGTATGTAAATATATATATATTTAATATATATTTAAAGTCTGGAGTGTGAAGCTATGAAATTCTTGAATTCTAACCTGAGTAGCTAATGTAGAGTTGAACTCCACACTCCAGATTTTTAAAAAATTTTTATTAGTGAAACACCATGAGGTACAGTTGTAGACTTACAAATTTTTGTGCTTGGGTTTCAGTTATACAATGAGAGAACACCCATCCCTCCACCAGTGCCAATTCTCCACCACCGATTCCAGTATCCCTCCCACCCCTATCCCCTCTCCCCTCCCACTCTGCCTCTATGGCAGGGCATTCCCTTTTGTTCTCTCTCTCTCCTTTTGGGTGCTGTTCTTTTTTAATGTGTGGTTTCCAACTCCACCTGCTCGTCCCACAAGCCAAAAGAGGAAGCACGCTTTATCCCACTTCCCCAGGTCTGGGGGTTCCTGTCTCTCTGACAATGAAGGGGAGACTCTTCAGTTATGGATTGATGCGGGTGTCCCCGCCTGCTTCCCACCCACTTGCTCAAAGTCTCAATTGCCCATGTAATCTTGGGCTGCTACTCCCTGGACCACAGCTGTGAAGTCTGATGACCACATCCCAAAGCTAACCATGTCCTGGCTGGCATCTGCAAGAAGGAAGACACTTTATTCCAAGGCAGAGTGCAACGGGGCGGAGCAAAGCACAAATCCACCTTCCCATTCCTTCAGTTCATATTTATCCAGGTAGAAGGAGGGGCTCGGTGCCACTGTTCTATTTCTTGAAAAACAGAGGCTATTTTTCAAGACAGGAGGGAGATTAGGAGAAAAGCAGGCTGTCTCAGAGTAAGTACAAAGAGGGTGTGTTTTCTCTGCATTTCCCCATTAAACGCTGTCAGTAACAGGCCTTAGAATCATGTGGCTGTTTTCAAGCTAAAAGACAAGTCGAGAAAAGGAGAAGGGTGGTGTCCAAGTGAGTGTTTACTTGCTTTTATTTTTTTTCTGGAAAAAAAACCCAAAACAGTTGCACTGGGACCAGAGACAGTGTGAGGTTAAGGTGCTTGCTTAGATATAGTCCACCCAGGCACTCTGTGTGCATGGTCCCCTGAGCCTAGAGATGGGAATTGTCCCTGACCACTGTGTAGTGCGCTGGCCCCCAGAACAACCAACCAAGCAGTTGTTCCTTATCTCCAGCTTTTGTCAAGCAGTTGCTGTGAAACTGGGAAAGATGGCAATGCTCACTGCGGAGCCTGTCTCACAGTTTTTACCTTGTTACCCTGCAGACCAACGTCTCGATGGCATCATCTGCTCCGGAAAATCACTGACAACTAGTCTGGTTGGTGGCCACTCTCTTTTTAAGTCCAAGTATATATCCAATTGCTTCTTGATTTTGTTTCCTATTTCTACTGGGTATGTGAGAGAGAGTGTGTGTGGGACTTGAATGACTTAACTGGTCCTGCTTCTAGAATCTTCTGCTCCTGGCAGATTCGAGTCTCAGGGAGGGGAACAAATGGAGGCACACTAAGACGTTCATTGCAGTGAATTTATATATCCAAACTCAGCGATTCTGAATGGTAGAGTGAGTGCTTGTAAACCCTCTCAGGCACCTAGCAGAGCACAGGGCATAAATGCATACGGACTGACCTCTTGGCTGACTGGAAAATAGTTGATTTCTAGGTTTCTAATATTATGGGCTATGAGGGACATAAGGAAGTGGTTGTGCTTTTAGGAAAATGATCCCAAAGCTCATACTTAAGATTTATGAACACCCCCCTCTCTGGACCCCCCCTCAGTGACCCCCACCCCACCTCATAGCCAGACCTTTAGCATAGGTATTTCAGCACTTTCAAAATGTAGGTGTGTGAGATCCTGCCTTCCTGGAATCAACAGCGGTTTGATAATGCCTCTGACAATCTAATTTGTATTTTTTCCTCTGTTGCTGGGTTGGTTTTATTTTTTTCTTCTCCCTTTTCGCCAACAGTCAAAGTATCCTGCAGCTCTTTCCTTCCCACCTGCCAGTTTTGTGTGTATCCAGATGGCCACAGCTGATGGGGGAACGTAGGAACTGGAGGAAGCTAACGGCACAGCCTGTCTGCTCCTTAGGAACCAGCAGTCCAGTTCCCTTTACTCCAGGGGCGAGCCCCAACAAATCCATTTCCAGAAAGTTCATTCCCTGCAGGGTGACCAAAACCACAGCTGCTGTTGCATTTCCGTGGGCCAAAGTGGTTCCCTCCAAACCACATAACTAGGGTCACTGGCTTGTGCCTGCTGCTAGGGGTCCATCCAAAATTTTGCGAAATTTTGGAGTGAGAACTCCCCATTTTTGGGTTCTCGGTGTCATTCCCCAAATTCTGAGTCTCCTGGAATTTATTTTATTGGGGGGTGGGTTTGAGGTCACACTCAGGTTTTACTCCTGGCTCTGGACTCAGGAATCACTCCTGGCAGTGCTTGGGAGACCATCTGGGATGCAGAGATTCAGCCCAGGTCGGTGGTGTGCAAGGCAAGCTCCTTCATTGCTGTGTTCTCTCTCCTGCACTTGTGCATCCTGGTCTTGGATTCTGCTGGTCCTCCCTGGCTGGGATAAATGCTCCAGGGCTGAGCTGAGATACCTCCCCGTTCCCGGTGGTCAGCCGCAGGGCCCCAGCTACAGGCAATCCTTCCTCCCGCAAAGCTATGTATCTCTTTATCTTCTAGAACAAGATTTAACCCCTGACTTCTGATCATCCCCCCTCCCCCCCCCCCCCCCACACAATTTGGGGCTTTCTACCAGTAAGGAGTTTGTTTAACTTTCAGTTTTTTGGGGGGAATGGGGGGTGGGGGGACAGGCACACCCAGCCATGCTCAGTGCTTACTCCTGGCTCTGTGCTCAGGGATAACTCCTGGCAGTACTCGGAGGACCATGTGGGGTGCCAGGAATTGAACCCGGGTCGACAGAGTGCAAGGCAGGCGCCCTCCCCATCTCTACGAGGGCTCTGGCTCTCAAACTTTTCAGTCTTTGGGCATCAGAAAAGATATTCAAGGAAAACCCCGTCTGGAAGACTCAAGCTGGGGACCCTCCAGATCACCCAGGAGTGGAGGGAGGCAGTGGGGAGGGGCAGTTCCCAAGCCCATATGGGGGCGGGGGTGGAGACACTTCGGAACCCGCTGGGGCGCGGTCCCCAGGATTCTGGCACGGTGGAGGGGTGCAGGGAGAGATTCCCATCCTTTACAACCTTCCCGGTTGGAGAGGGAGACGAAGGAGCGAGGGGCCGGCCCGGGACAGCGCGGGGGCGAGGCGGGCGCGCGCGCCGCGCCGGAGGGAGCCCGGCCGAGTCGGGCGCGCGGGCGGCGGGGTTGGGGGGGCCTCGGGCGCTGCCCCCCGCGGCCGCCTGCAGTTCCCCGCGCGGCCGGCGGCCCGGGGGGCGGAGGCGGGGCCCGTCACGTGCGGGGGCGCGCGGGGGCGCGCGCGGGGCGCTTGCCAGGCGCCAGGCGGGCAGGGGAGGTGGCGGGCGGCCGCGGGCGCAGGCCGGGCCGGCAGCAGGACACGGGCGGCTGGGGTGCGGGGGGATCGGCGCGGGGACCAGCATGCGCCGCTCGCGGGGAGGCGTCTGGCTGGCGCTGGCCGCGTCGCTGCTGCACGGTAGGAGCCTCCGCGCGCTCCGCAGCCCCGGGGTCCCGGGCGCCTTTCGGGGGTTCCTTGGAGCGTCCCTTTCGGGGCTGGGGTGGAGGAAGGTTCTGGGGACTCCTGGCCCGAGTGCGCTGCGTGGGGCTCGGGGCGCGGGGCGCCGGGCACAGGGCGCAGCCCCTTACCGGCCTGCCCTGAGCCGCGCGCCCCCCTTTGCTCCCCAAAGTGTCCCTGCAAGGCGAGTTCCAGAGGAAGCTCTACAAGGAGCTGATCAAGAACTACAACCCCCTGGAGAGGCCCGTGGCCAACGACTCGCAGCCCCTCACCGTCTACTTCTCACTCAGCCTCCTGCAGATCATGGATGTGGTGAGTCCCGCCCGGGGACCCCGCCGGAGCGAGGGCTGGGGAGGGGTCCGCGCCGAGGGCTGGGAGAGGTTCCCGGCGAGAGCTAGCAGGGGTCCGCGGAGAGGGCTGGGGAGGGGTCCTGGGGGTGAGGAGGGACTTGCTCGGGGTTGACGTGACGCGGGACCCTTCTCAGCTGGGCCGGAGTGGTGACTGAGCTGGCGCGCTGTTGCGTGCCTCAGTTTCCCCAAGGCCCGTTGCCCCGCTAAGGAGAAAGCCAGTGCCGGCCACCTGTGCGTGGGGACTTCAGGACAAGAGAATGGGTGTGGGTATGTTTTAGGCTCCCCCACTCCTCAGCCCCGAGGAGGCGACAGTGCTGGTGGAGCTGCTTTGGGGAAGGGGCTTGACTGTGTCTGGGCCGTTAGTGCAGGCAGAGTGCCTGGTCCAGGGCGTTTGGACGTTTTGCCATCTGTTCTGATGCTGATCAGGATGCGAATCTCCAGATGAACCCCGGTCAGCTTCTGCTGGGACCACGGCAGCCCCCACCCCCGCCTGCAGCCTGATTAGGCACAGCTGTAAAACCTGGAAGTTTCTGGAAGTGCTTTTTTTGTTTTTCGTTTTTGGACCACATCGTGGGTTGTGGGGGACTCTGGGACGGGTGTTGGGGGTGTTGGGGTCCTGGGGATCCAACCATGGTGGGACACGTGCAAGGCAAGTGCCTTCTGGGTTGTACCGTGTCTCTGCCCCTGGGAAGTCTCTGTTCAACGCCCACACCACGCACATGCACATGCACACGAGGCTCTGAATATTCAGTTTTCACGCCTGTCCCTCAGGGAAACAAACGCTTGGCAAGCAGGTGGAACTCCTGATTCCTGGCTTTCAGAGCTGAGTTCGCAGGAGGCTCTGGACTTGGTTCTGGGCACTGTGGGCCGGAATCCCGGATGTCCACTGGGTTTTGCCCGCGTGGCCTTCGGAGATTTTCCCACGTGTTGAAATCACGGGTGTCCTGCCCTGACTGCTGATGAGGACAAGAATGTGGAGGCTGCTTTCTTTTTTTATCAGTCGTGATTTCTTTTACTTTTTAAATTTTATTTATCCACTATGAAATTACTACTAAGTTATTCATAATTGGGCTTCAGGCATTCAGTGTTTCCACACGGAGCCCTTTGCCAGTGTCCCCTCTCAACCCCCGCCCCCCCACCCATCCCTTCCTTTGCTTCCCGCCCACCAGTCTGCTTCTGAGAGCGGTGCTTTTTGATTTTCTTGTATGTGAGTGTTTGTGCTGTGCTTGACAAGTCCCGATGCTGGTGGGGTTTCAGACACACATTTCACTTCCAGCATCACCTCCAGGGACGCTGCCCTCTCTCACTCCTGTCCCCAGCCCCTCAGCGGCTCTCACATTGTTTCCATTGCCTTTGGGTGTTCCTTATTCCCTGTGATTTTTTTTTTTATGCCTGCATGTGAGAGATCACGCTGTGTCTTCTGTCTCCTGGAGGCATCTCAGAGGGGTCACGAACCTAGTCCTGGGCATTTTCACAGTGCCCCCTCCCCTGTCCTGGTACCTCGACTCACCCTGCACCCCCATGTTGTCAGTGTGAGAGGGTCATATCAGAATCCTCCCCTCCCCTCCCCAACTTGGAGCACACAGTCAGACATGCTCTCTGCTGAACACTGACCATGGCCTGGCATGCAGGCTGTGGAGACTTCTCTCTCCACCCCTCCTCTCCCCTCCCCTTTCTCTCCCTCTCTCTCATTCTCTCCTCCTCTTTCTTCCTCTTTCTCTCCTCTCTCTCCCTCCCTCCCTCCCTCCCCCTCACTTTCTCCCTCTCCCTTTCCCTTCTCTTCTCTCCCTCTCTCTTTCCACCCTCTCTCTCCTTCTCTTCTCTCCTCCCTCTACCTTCACTCTCCCTCCCTCTCTTCTTCCCTCCCTCCCTCTTCATCTATCTCTCTCTCCCTCTTTTCCTCCGTCCCCATCCCTGTCTCAGGTGCTCAAGGGGTGCAGAGTCCACTCTGCCCTCTACCAATCTGACTGACTGGTTCAGGGGTGGGGCCTGGTGCTGCAGTGACACTGGGGCCAGGTGGGGCCGGGTCTTTGCAGGTTCAAGGCTGCACCCAGTCCTGTGCCATGTCTCTGGCCCAGGCAGTCTCTTCCAGAGATGTGTCTTCTCTCTGCTCTGAGGAGCTGCTGCTTCTTCCCAGCCCCTCTCCCCAACAACCCCTTCCTAGTCTCTCCTACCTGGATAGCCCCTTCCAATCCTCTTTCCCCTGCCGGGACAACCTCTTCTCAGTGCCCCCCTGCCCATGAGATCGCGCAGGATCAGGTTTGAAGGGCTTCTTCCTGGAATTTGGGCATGAACTAGGGGCTGCAGGAAGAGAGCGTAGAAGAGAAAGTGTATTTGCAAACCCCACCTTGTCAGCTTTGCAGATATACCTGTCATGAGAGTCGGGAGCCCAGCATGTCAGGTGAAGATTCCAGGATGAGACACCATGAAGGAGCCAGTGGTCAGCAGCAGAGGCAGAGGCAGGCAGAGAGGGAAGGAGGCTGGCTGGCCAGCATGCATCAGGACATGCACTGAGCTTCCCGCCAGGAATGCTGCCAGCTCCAGGAGGCAGCCCGTAGGAGGTGTCCTTGCTTCTCCTGTTCCTGGTGCATGGAAGGAGATTTAGATCCACCTGGGAACTTTGTTTTTGTTTTGGACCCCACCCGGCTGTACTCAGGGGCTTCATCCTGGCTCTGTGCCCAGGGATAACTTCTGACATAGTATGGGGAATTCAGGCAACGCCAGAATCAAATGGGGGAAGGGGATGTGTGCCTGGTCAGAGCTTGACCCCTGTACTCGCTCTGATCCCTCTCTATTTTCTGAGTTCTCTGGTTCAGAGGCCACACCGGGTGGTGTTGGGGGCTGCTCCTAGTTCAGTCCTCAGGGGTAGTGCCTAGGAGTGTGAGGGGGTGGAACCTCAGCTCCTACAGACCGCGGCTACCTGCCAGCTCCATCTTGGCAAGTTTGGGCATCTTTGTGAGGTCACCACTCAGGCCCAAGATCAGGAAGATGCAGCCTCAGGCTGTGTGTGTGTGTGTGTGTGTGTGTGTGTGTGTGTGTGTGTGTTGGGGGGGAGTGGCTGGGTTGGGGAGGGAGCAAATCCTCGGCATCTCCTGCTGCCTTTAGACCCACTTAAAAATTATTTCTTAAATTGAATCCAATGAGATACACAGTTACAAAGTTGTACATAGTTGGGTTTCAGTCATACAATGTTCCAACACGCATCTCTCCATCAATGTATATTTCCCAGTGTCCCCAGTTTCCCTCCCCGCCCTCGTCTCCCCCCCCCCCCCATACACACACTTTAGAGTCACTTTTGCAGAGCAGGTCAGCTATGCCTCCAGTCAACCCAGCGTGCAAGCCCCCAGAGCCTGAGGTGGGGAGAGAGCTGCTGTCACAAAGATAATGGGACTCATAAGTTCCCCAGCTGGGCATAGGTGGTCTGGCTCTGAAACTAACCAGAGTTTTACAGCCAGTGGCTCAGTGTCCTCAGTGACCCGCCGAGGCCTTCCTGGGACGTGTGTAAGGTAGCCTCAGCCAGAGGCCAGGTTTCCGGGACCAATTCAGTTCCCTGCGCCTTTGTCCACCCCCGGACAGGGGGGAGCTCTTCAGCAGCCCCATGACCCTCCAGATCTCGGTGTGGTTCTCTTATTGGGCCCACAGTTCCCAGCAGGGGAGAGAGGTCAAAAGGATGCTGCGGACTTCTGCAGAAAGATCCAGTGCCCTTCCTAGCTGAACTCTCCACCCAGTGATAGTGCTCGGCTTATGGCCTGGGCTGGATTCTTGGAATTCACAAATGGAAAAGGGATACTTTGCCCTCTGAGAACTCACGGTCTGGCTAGGGAGACAGACAGGCAGGCTATGATCCACATGACCTCAGGTGAAACAGGATATAAGTGATCATAAGAGTATACCAGTTACCAGGAGGGGAGATGGTTATTCCCAGCCCTGGGGGCAGGAAGTGGTTTCCAAGGGGAGTTGTTGAATATGGGCACGGTTTTGTGGATTAGAGAGAGTTGCAAAGACTCTACGTGGTGAGGGGAGGAGGTGCCAAGAGCTGAAAGTGGGGTTTAGGAGAGCACCCCATCGGGGTGAATCTATAGCACCACCCCCTCCCACTGGCCTTTGGCTAGAGATTTTGCACCAGACTTCTCAGGATATTGGATGGGTTTCTGCTTGTTGGATTTTTAAAGAAGGTGACTGGAGGAATGACCAAGTGCGTCAGACCTTTATAGCCCCCTTGGGTAAGAATTTGATTCTCGAGATACACCGCAAGATCAAGGCTGGAAATGACACAGGGATAGGAGATGTCAGTAAACTCAGTATCTCAGCTCCATCCCCCCCACGAGCCCCCCTCCCCCCCCACCCCAGAGCTCAGATTTGATCCAAGCTGCTCCCAGAGGAAAAGACAGGACAGCTTTACAGGGCTTCATGAAGCTGTAACTTCATCGTGCTCTCACCTCTGTTCCCGGAAACAGAAATAATCCAAACCAGGTTATTGGCACTCAGAACAAGTTTAACAGATCAGAAATAGGTGTGTGTGTGTGTGTGTGTGTGTGTGTGTGTGTAGGGAGATTTGTATTCATTTTATTGTTATTATTTTAAAAATGTGTGTATGTGTGTGGGGGGGCTTCATATGGGGTCCAGGGACTCCAGGATCTCACCAGAGAGTCTCATTCAACCAAGCCATTGGGTCTTGGTCTCATTCACCAAACCATTGGGCTAAGGATGCAGTGCTGATTGGGTCTGGCCATGCCAGGGGCCTCCAGGGCTACTCCCGGTGATGCTTGTTCAATCAATGGTACCAGGGATTGATATGTAGGTGAGGCACATAGTAGGCACCCCTCAGCTACAGTCCCATCTCCCAACCTCACCCTTGCCCCCCCAACTCAGCTCAGTCCTGCAGATGAGGCCTGCAGTTCTGATGCCGTTGGCCATGGGCTCTGCCTTGATGAGGTTTCTTCATAGCCCATATAGAGAGCA